GGTCCCCACAGCATCTTGCACCATCAATGTCCTGCTGAGCCCCAGGGCACCCGACCAGATCAGCCAGCCTGACTGACCAGCACCTCATTGCCCACAGCCACCACCTTCCCTCCTCCCCTCAGACCCACACAGCACTGCCTGAGCCTCCCTTCTCCTCCTCCTCCTCCTCCTGGGGAGCTGGAGAAGCGTGTGATTGCAAATGACAGCCTCACCTCTTCACCCATGGAGTGAGGGCTGGATGAGATCTGATCAAGCAGCTGCTCATCAGTCCCGGGCATTGTCTGCCCATCACCCAGGAGCCACAGACTGCCCTGTGTCAGAAGTCCCCGCAGGGCTCTCCCAGCAAGGCCTCCAAAGACACTGAGGGGATTTTCAAACCAGCTGGTTCTGTCTGGTGTGCAAGTAAATTATGCAGCTGTATTGCATACCTGCCTGGCTGGAGGGAGTAGAATATATTTTAGGAATTTATACAGGGATTTCTTGGGCTGGGACATCATACTCCTTCCATCTTTTCTTGGTCTGAAAGCAAGGTGGGCAGAGCAACAGAGCAAAGCAGGTACAGAGGACATCAGGAGTGCCCAAGCTGTGTATGAGCTGTCTGCATTGAGCTGAGCACACCTCAGAGCAAAACCTCCTCCCACAGGGATTGTTGCTGGCACCCAAATGCAGGATTTATCCCCAAAGAATCCTTCTCCATAGTTTGCTGAGTTATCTCCATATTCTGATCTACAGGAGCACATGGCTGAAGCAGGTGTGAAGAATGTCAAACAATATATCCTACTGTCTCCCCTGCACAGGTAAGGGAACAAACTCACTAAGGTGGAACTTGGCTAATGTAGGAACTTCACAGGTCCCTGAGTATACCTGAGAAACACTATAAAGAGAATTCTGATTTTAAAAGGTGGTCAAAAAGAGCAGCTCTTGGCACACCTGGCCAGCACCTTGTGGGAAGACCAGACAAATACTGAAGGCAACCTTGCATAAAGCAATGTAGGACATGGTCAGGTTTTGGCACAGTGGGTCAGAGAAGGAATGAGCTCCCATGAGAGACAGGTGCTCTTTACACCTCAGGGCAAGACAGTACCTCTGGGCCTTCTCAGTGTTACCATGGGCCTTCCATAAGCATGTGCTCAAGGGCTTTTCACCTCTGTCTTAGCACTCCTGTAAGCACTGTCCATACACAAATCCCCACTTCACCTCCCTCCCTCAGTCAGCCGCTGCATGCTGCATGTACCTAATGGCGTGGCAGAGAGGTGGCTGCTCTTCACCCTCTGGCTGACACTGTACAAATTCAAAGCTCCCACAAACAGTAAACAAAGGCTTGCTCCAAGGATATGGCAGCTTTCCCACACCCCCGGCTGAGCAAATGGAAACACTTCCCAAAAGCACATGCTGTAAAGGCTGTCCTTGGTGGTTCTGTGGGCTCAGGGCTATGTGCCAAGATGTGCTGAGCAGCTTAAGTAACAAGCACTCCTGCACTAGCCCTTTCACCACCTCCCCCGGCTCAGGGCACTGCCCAGTCCACCTACACAGGACCAGAAATGAGAAGGGATAGTTAAACTCAGGCATAATTAAATTCCTTGAGAGCCAAAGAAAGGCACCCTAATCCTGGCAGGCTGAAAAGTACTTTTCAACATCTTGTGACATGGGAACTTTCAGAGCAGCGGTGGAGCTCATCCAGACTCCCATCCTGGGCTGGAGGTGGCATGTATCACCCCAGGGCAATGGCTTCATTAACATCAGTGCCAGTGCCCAGTTCTCCAGCACAGGATACCTGCAAGTACAGACAGTCCTCTGGAGAGAGCTCCTGCCATCACTGAAGCCAACCACCAAGATAAAGGCTGCCTGAAATCCTTGAGGAGAGGAACTTACCACAAGAGACCTGGTGGAAACAGCAGCAGCTTTGTTTCTGTTTTGCTTTCAAAGGGCAAGCACCTTTTTCTCTCCCTATCCTACTGCTGGAGTACAGTTTGTACATCCCTTCATTCAGATGTCTGACAAATTATTTCAGAGTGTTCTGTATCCATAGCTGTGACAAGCAAATTACACTGATTTAGGCTCATCTACCTTGGTCTCCAGGGATGCTGGATATTGAAGTCTCTCAGAACTGGAAGCCTGAAGCACTGTCACCCACTCAGCCTGAAGGAAGATGCTGGGATGGCTTCCGTACTCACCAAAAGAAGGCTGCTCTATTCAGGGGAGGAACTAAAATACGATGAAGGGAACACCACGTTACTCATTCCTTCTGCAGTAATATTTACTCCAAATGGCAGGTCTGCGACTTCACCACTGGCTCCAAGAAATACTCTGTATCTTTCCTTCCTGATACACAGTAAGTCCTGTGAGATCCTGCAGGCTCCATTACCCCACTTGGTGGCAGCCAAACTGCCTAACCATGCCCATAAAATGATCAACAGGCACCACACATGAAAGGCAGAGATCACTGGTGGCCTTTTAGTGAAGCCAGAAGAGGGTGTGCCCAGCAGTGGTTTCAGAATGAAGGAATCGTAGAATATCCTGAGTTGGAAGGAACTCACAAGGATCATCAAAGCCCAACTCCTGGCCCTGTACAGGACAACCCCAAAAATCACAGCACATAACTGAGAGCATTATCTAAGTGCTTGAGCTCTGGCAGGCTTAGTGCCATGGCCATTTCTCTGGAAAACCTGTTCCACTGTCCAGCAACCGTCTGGGTGAAGAACCTTTTCCTAATATCCAGCCTAACCCCCCCCTGGAAAAAAAAAAAAAAAAAAAGCTAAAAGAAAATCTGAACATTGGCCCACCCCTCAAGTGGGCATTGCTTGGGCACTGCCATGGGCAACTCAGTGAGTGCACTGAGTATTTTCCTATTTACATATATATGAACAGGAAAGAACAGGACAAAACCAGTCTTCTAGTTCTTCCTTCTAGGAAGGTGGGACTGCTCTTCCCACCACTAATGCTGAAACCCTCTTCAAAAGGGAACAGTGCAAGAGTTATTTGTTTCTTCTAAAAGCAGCTGGGTCTTTATTTTGTGTGATAAATGCAGAGCTGCCAAAGGCCAGGCTTGCTGGGAGCACCAAGGTTAAGGTGCAATAGCACATTTATCCTCACGATCAAGTTAAGCTTGCAGCCCATTTTCAACATAAGCCTACTCTAGCAAAACAATTTGTCCTTTAATCACAGCAACAAAGACAGGCACCCAGACTCCAGCTATTTTAAATGCACTTAGATGGGGCCAGATAATTGTTGGTGAGTAAGGAAAAGCTTTGAAGTTCTTGAATCGAGGAACAAAAGCTGAGCCATGTGAGGAAAGGGGCACGGCTGGCAGGCTGGCTGCTGCTGCCATCGCCTCACGGGAATTTGTAACTCTTCTATTAAACCCTTCTCAAAAGCGCTTTCTTCTCCTCCCCTCTCTGTAACCCGCATGTAAGAAAGCCCCATCAAGAGCATAACAACAGGATTAATGTTTTTATACAGTTCAGGAAAGTAATTTAGAGCCTTGTCCTATGTATTCCTAAAGCCAGTATTAAAAAGCTTATTTGATGCACAAGATCCCTTAAAACTATCACGAATATGATGCGATTGACCTTATCTGCAATATGGAATCATACCCTGTCTTCGAGGTACCAAAGGTTATACCAAGCATTGCAAAACTTCTTTCCACAGTCCTAGAGAAAAAAAATCTCCAGGACCTCCTAACAAATGACCAGATGACTGAGACATCAGTACAAGTCAAATATTCGGATTTGACTTCACCCTAGGATCTGTTTGTTGATGTAATCTGCAATATATCTACTAAAAATGAGAACACAAGTGAATGAAATTGAGAGTAGCAGGCTATTCAAAACTAAATGCAGGAAATAATTTATTTTATTATAATTATTTGATAAGCTGCATCTTTATCTCAAATTCATTCTTAATAAGAAAATTAAATTCAAGCATAAACTAATGGCAAGAGCACTTTTTATCAACTGGATGCATTTCCTTTTGCAAAAATGAAATTCAAGCAAGCCTGCTACTTTTCAGCTGCAGACATCACAATATAGTGATATCAAATAAAGTCTGCTATTACATGAATAATATTATCTACTATGCATTAATATGAATATATATCAATAGGAAACAAAAATCTGGGCCAACAGCACCTTAGCAAAAAAAAGGTACTCTTGGCACCATCTGAGTACTTGGGAACAGTCTGGACAATATTGAATGGGCAAGCTTAAAGCCTATGTATAAATTAAGAATAAAAACTGAAAATGCTTTAATTTGAAAAGCAAACCAAGAAGTTTAAGGCATTCCCACCTATACATTAATTTGTTCCAGTAACCAAGAAAAGACAGACTTTGACACCTTTTATGTCATAATTAAGAGGGCATCATGCAGTATCATAAAAGCAGCATAAATTCTGCACTCAGATTTTCTTCTTTAGTTTTAAGCTCCCTGAATACTTGAGCCTGTAGTCCATCCAGTCAGGTAGTTTAATCTTCACTTCAAACATGGTTTGCCTTTCAGGCAGGCTAATAATTTGGTTTTTGTTTTGCCCCCTCATTAGCATCTCAGTACATCTGGATGAATCACACCAGTTGATAGTCACACTACATGAAGCACCTGCAGAAAAATATCCTGTGTGTATTGCATATATTTATGTCAAAATTATGGTGTGGTATTACCTACCAAAATAAAAATGAGCTACAGAAACCTCAGAAGAACATCCAGACAGGAATGCTTCTGGATTTTGTAGATGAAAAGGAACTGTCTGATCTAGGAAATGTCACTAGTAATAAACCCACTTTTAGAGTATCTCCAGCTTATCTGCTATAAGAACAGAACAAGACTAATGCGGTTTTTTCTTCTGCTGTTTAAAAGAAAAATTATCCTTCTCATCAGTTAATGGAAGCCTGCCTTGCAAGATAAATTCCTGTTGCATATTGTTTCTCAGGACACATCCTGATACAGATGTATGGATGGGGAAGCAGGGGGTTTTCAATGATAAAAAGGAATACAGGCAAAGGTCATAATGCAGATTTATGAAAAATAAATTTATTACATAACACCTTGTTTTAACAATGTTTGATTTTTTTTTTTTTTTACTCAGAATACTTGTGTCATTCATGTAAAATAGTTTGATACAGTACATTGTATGTAAGTTTTTCCTCATAAATTCTAAGGCTCTCCTAACATCTTGTTCCTCTGCAGTAGGAATGGCACCCCTAAACAACGTGCGAACATTTAAAAAAAATAAAATAACCGAACAAAATTTAAAATCCACTACACCAAGCTGGTTCTCAAAAATCATGACAAAATATCTGAATGGATGCCGCACCTTTTTAGGAAATATCATTCATGCTTTTTTAATCCCAAAGCATGCTCACAAATCATTAACACCAACAGGAAAAAAATAAAACACTGTCTATGACAATCATTTTAGTTTGTTTGCTGAACCAAACATGTTTATATCAATGACAACATACTTATTTTACTATCAAATAGCAGCTTTAATACCAGTCAAGTCATAGATTTCAAAACAAAAACAAAAACTCATGTTGGAAATAAATCTTTGGGACGCTTGTAATTGCTGGGAAAAAAATGCAAACGCTTCCATGTTCTTAAAAAAAATGTCATCGTAGCAATCGTGTCGGTCATAAAACATCGATCTAGCTGGAAAATGAACCAACCCACAAAAGTCACTAAAAATAAATGTCTATCAAAACTGTCTGAGAGTTACGGTTAGTTTGCTTTTTTGCCATGGTAACATATACTGTATGCTTCAAGTACCAGTTCAAAGATGTCGTGTACTATCGGTCAGATGAAGTTGTTACATCAAGAGAATTCACCACATACGACAACAAAAATGCTTGCCCCTAGCACATTTCACAGCTTCACCTGCTACAGACTGTCACTGAAAAAAATGCATCGGTCAGTCTGAACCATGTCAAGTAAACTACAGAAGTAGCATATCCACAACACAAACCGTGCTAGCACTTTCTTTTCAAGTCTAACCCCAAAACCAGGTACAACGTGGGAGTCCCCGGCCCCGTGGCGGGGGGGTCGTGGCGGTCGGACAGGTGGGAGGTGTGGTTGTACAGTACATTCTGTGGCCCCAGCCGGGCTCCTGGCACGCAGCTGCGCGGCCGGTCCTGCAGCGGCAGCGCATCGACGGCACCGGGTGCAGCTCAGTACCGGTGGGTCTGGTGCGAGTACTGCGGCGGCTGCTGGGAGGTAGCTGAGTATCCCATGCTGCTCTGTGGCTGCGATGTGCTTGGTCCGGGGTTGGGGTAGGCAGCATGGGGGTTGGAACGCTGCAGGGGGGAAAGCACAGACAAACAGCCCTTCGTAACACGGACATCGCCAGACAATTTCACCTACTGATTCCTTCCTGCAAGAGGCACCCAGCACACACAGTCTCAAAGCAGCTGCACTTCCAGGCTTTGCTTCACTTACTCTGATTACAGCAGGTAACAGACATCAGGAACACCAGATCAGAAAGTGACTGCCAGCCTTCTGCTACCCACCCTAATGGGGATCCCCATCCATCACAGTCATATCAGATCAGAAAGTGACTGCTGCCAGCCTTCTGCTACCCACCCTAATGGGGATCCCCATCCATCACAGTCAAATCTCCAGCCAACCCTCCAGATGGCTACTGTGCACCTGCACATGACACTGAGCTACCACCACTCATGGCACTGGTCTTCCCCATTTGCTCCCTTCTCCTAGCAAGAAGGTAGGCTGGGGTGGAGGTCCAGGTGAGGCATCTTTCTGCTGATGAGCCACTCTGCCTTATTCTTGAGATTTTCGCACACAGAGGATTGCCACCCTCCTGTGTGACCTAGGAGTACAGGCTGAGAGCACTGTGATTTGGCTAAGGTGTCATCTATCAGCAGCCTTAAAGTGCTTGAAGGAGAGTTAAAGACAACAGCGACATGTTCCTCAGTGGAACCAGGTATTTCAGGCAAAAATGTCCTTAGATTGTGGATTGGGAGGTTCAGGTGGGACACTGGAGGAGGGACCACCAAGAAGCCAGTATAGCACTGGAAGAACCTGCCCATAGAGTCTGTGAGGTTTTTAAGACTCTATGAAGGTTTTTAAGACTCAACTTAACAAAGCCATGCTAACCTGAGTGAGTCACAACTAGCAACAGCCCTGCTCCAAGTGGGAGACTTGGCTAGATGGTTTCCAGAGGCCCCTTTCAACCAGCACTCACACAATTATTTGAGTGGAGCTTTCATTGCAAGAAGGTCTCCGCAAACCAGGAACTGCCAATTTTAATCTAACCTGCTTCAATTTTAACCTGAAAGATATTATTTACTGATCATGTGTTATAAAGGAAAGAAGGACTGCCTGTGAGAATTTCAGTAAGTATCTGAGCACTTAGTAGCTTTTAACATTTCATTAAATTAACACAATTTCAGTACATTACTGGGCTGGTTTACATTCACATTAAGGTTTACATGCCCTAACAAACTTTGCAGCATTTAGAAACTGTGTAGCTTCTAAATTCTTGATATCACAGGACATATGTTTTTTAGGAAAAGCTGCTTCTAGAAGAGGTCTGGAAACTTCTACAAAGTATCTATTCCAGGACTAGAGCATTGCTACTGAGACATGAATAGGAAACAACTGTGGTGAACCAACACCCTGAGAAAGTAAAATATTAAGTCACAACATAAAGCAAAACCCCCAATTTTTTCTTGTACAGCATTTAGAACATAAGCTATACCCAGGAAGCTGAGATGATGGCAGAAATAAAAAAGGGCACATTCTACTTGTTAACACACACTCACAGGACTGAGCTAACACCTCTAGAGAAAAGGGGGACAAATGGCTGGATCAGCACTTAATGTCAGTGGGAACAAACCAGCACTGCTGATCCACACCCTTAGCACAGTGACTGAACTTTGTTGACATCTGCCTTCAGCCTCGCGAGGAGGACTAGGTCACTCATCGACAGAAGGGTCACAGCTCTGGGTCACCCTTCTCCATGTTACAAATACAGAATGTACTTCAAAGAGCAAAAGTCTTGAACGCTGGTTTTGCCCATGAGTGGCTCCTGTATGTAGGAAACCATCACAAGTTTAACCATTTAAAACTGACCACTCATTTCAGTTGTAAAACACACCCTGCATCCTGACCTCTAAAACAGAACTTATTTTAAGACAGAGGCAATGAAAAATCAGATTCCTACATGACACCCAGAGCAACAAATGGCTTTTGTTTTAAGAAAAAAGTACATGTACATTCCTTTCTGAATATCATTAAGCACCCAGAGGGTTATCCCAAGCAAAAGCTCACAGTAGTGGAATTGCTCCAGCCTGCTTAATCACATTGCCTTTGGGAGTGTCACATTGCAGATTTAAACAAGGAGGCAAGTCTGTGTGCCATGTGTCTACTATTTTTATGCATGGCAGAAAAGGATATGAGGTCAATGTGCCCTGCAGAGAGTAATTTGACTTCTGAGTGAATGCAGAAACTGTGTTAGTGTGCCTTGCCCAGGAGATGGCAATCCTTCTTCACAAGCTTTATATGGGGAATTTGAGCAAACGAGATGAAGAACAAAGGAACAGGTGTTTGATTAAAACAGAGGGCTGTATTGTAATGTTTCTTTTCCCTCTCCCCAAGCTGCTGGATCAGAAGCAAAAAATGTGAGGAATTTTTTTCAGGGAGACCTGAAACCATCAGTTGGAAACTCTTAACTGCTTTTGTTCTAGGGCTGGCAAGCTCAGGTCTCCTCTCTTTGATTATCATGTTTTCCAGACACCTTAATCAGAACAAATCTACTGACTGCCTCATTGCAAGGCTAGGGGGAAAAGGATATATGTTTTTGCAAACCAGGTATTTTCCCTCCTAGCGACAGCAGAAAGATTGGTCAGGAGTAGTCAAGCTACAGGAAGAGCTCCTGAGACAGAAAAGCAGCAGTTATCATTATCTTAAGGGAAAAGTATTCTGAAATTATATTTGTCAACAAGGGCTGCCCCCAGCTGTAATCCCAAGATGGATACCTGCTAGTACAAAAATTTTGATGAGCGTGAACTGAAAACAAAGCAATGCCAACTCCAGCCGAGCAATTTGATTCCTCTGACTTCTCAGCCAGCAAACCTCAGCTCTGGCTCACAGAACTAGGAGCTGAAGTTTGTTCAAAATGCTACAATGCAGCAGCAGAATGAGGTGAAGGGCATGTAAATAGAGCATGTAAATGGGGCTCCCTGACACAGTACACACAACCTCTGAATCAACCTCCTTAGATGTGTGACTCCACCGTGGGCAAGATCAAGAAAGTTACAGCTGCATTTGCCTTCTGTTCTGTGCGTGTGTTTTTAAGAAGAGGAAGAAAGAGCCAATTAAAAGGCCAAAACAGCAAGTGACTGCAGCTTGCCAGACTGAAAGGGATGAAACTCCTGTAAGAGAGCCTGTAATGGATAATCCTACTAAAAGAAAGATGACATTCATACTTATAAGCACCCCACCCTGCAGAACTATAGCTAAGGCTCACCACTGTCTCAAACAGCTCTAGAAATGTATATTGTTCAAGGAGAATGACTTGCAAACTGATGTGTTATTGATGTCCTGGGATAAACTGAACAAAGGCACTTGGGGACTATATGAAGGGTCTCACAATAAAGCTCCTGAAAATGATCTTATTTTACATTTTTGTTCTACTTTCAAGTGTTGGCCAATGCTGAGAGTACACAGATTCAGGTAAGGATGAAGGTAATGCCTCCAGGCAGCTTCTGGGGCTATCTGGTACTCTCAGGGACAAACTCTGAAACACAAGATTTCAAAGCCCACTGGTGGCTCATGGAGAAGCTGTATCAAACCAAAAGGCAAGTTGACAGCAGCAGCTTTACTGACTGTTTTTAAACTCTCCCTATGTTTTCTACAGACTGTAAGCCCAGCTAAGTGGGTTTCCATTAGATATCAGGTCTCACATTTAGATATCAACCTTTACATTAACTGAAAACATTGTCAGTAGTTTCCAACTTCCCCATCCTTTGATTTCATCCAAGACTGCCTGGCCACCTGTACTATGCATTCCATGTGAACCAGCATGCAATGATTAGTTCCTGCAGGCTAACACTTCCAGCAGCATGCCTCCTCTTGAAATCGCCTATTCCCCAGGCTTGCAAAAATCTGCTGTTCTCTAACTGCTCCTGTGAATCATCTGAAGTCTTCCCTGCTCCTCTCTTGTAACTTCTAAGCTTGTATTAACTAAAGGTTCTGTCCTTAAATCTCTTCTTCCCCTCCTCCAGTAGTAGCCTTATCCAAACCCAAAAACTCAGGCATCATTTGCTGGGATGACAAAGATATTCTTGTACTCCAGCCTCTGATTTTTTAATGTCTGAGCACAAGCTCAAATGCAGGAAGGCCAGAACACATTTTTCATGTGTCCTCAAGTGCTTTTTCCCAATGAACCTCCTCATCCTCCTCACCCACTGACTGCCACCACCTCACCTGTCTTCAGATCTGAAATATCTGGCTTACTCAACCTGGAGTCTCCCTTGATCTTCAAAACAGACTATGACAGCATTCATGCCAAATGTGTATTTGTCATCCAAAATACTGTTTCCACATTCACTAAGCCAACTACAACACTTGTTCAGACTCTTATTTCACAGGTTTTTACTGCAACATCTTCTGCCTTCTACCATTGCAGGCTTGTTCAAGCAAGAAGTGGCATTTTTAGGTGATACAGAGCACAGCATAAGAGGCTCCTGGTCCATAACCATTAGCATTCCCCAACATGAAGGTGATAATTAGTAATTCTAATAATGTCTGATCCTAATTTCCTTACTGCTAACCTAAAGAACATCAGAATATCAACAAATCATCAATTAAATGAATCTGAAAAAAATTCCAAAGACGACAAAAAGTAACAGTTAATACAGTGACATTTACAAAATTACTTTTTTAGTTTGAAGAAACACTGCTCTAAACATGAAAAGCAAATACACAATATGTGAATAAAACAAAATACCTGATAGTCTGAGGTCATAATAAGTCCACCTGAGGTAGTGGTAGGAGGAACAACTCTCACTTTTTTCAGTGGGGGTCCCTGTGTGTGACTGTTGTCTTGGTTCCCTGGATGACCAGTTCCATTAGTATGGTTATTGCCCTGCTGCTGCTGTTGGTTCTTCTCAATTGTTTAAACACAAAGAAAAATTTCAACTCAAAAGCAGTACATGAAATAACATAAAATCAGGAAATAGTGTAAAAGCCAGTGAAACATGATGATACTGTTCTTCTAGTACTTACTTTGTCTCCTTTATCATCTGGTTCTTCTTCTGTTAAAAATTCTCGTTTTGGGTAAGGGATTTGACAACCTGCAAAAACACTGTCCCCCAAAAAAGTCTATTTATCACTGTATTAGAACAGAAGGGTTAGACCTGTAAGATTCACACTTTACCCATGAGTTTCAAGCTGCCTAAGCCATCATTTAATACCTGCAACTAAGGGAGAAGTTTTCCCTGTTTGACTATCTCCATATTCTAAACTTTGTAAAAAAATATTCACATTTGGTTTTAATATTCATTTGACTCTTACACACTAACTTAAGCTCCCAGTAATATTTTTGTTGGTTAGAAAGGTACACCACTTGTTAAGTAGCTGCAAGGGCACAAAGAGCTATCTCACTATAGCTACTGTGTAATTCACAGTCTGAGGACTAACTAAAAATATTCCTGGAAACTTCACTGACTATTAAAAAAACACCTGGAAAAAACAGTTTAAAAGTAACTAGAAATTTCACCTATCAACTCATATCTCACAGTCCACATGGATTTGCTACTTCTAGTGCAAGCTAATATTTACCTACCCTTCATCAGTAGAATGTATTTATAACAAAGTCTCTGTATACCTGTTAACAATACTCACTGTGCATTCACATTAAAAAGTCAACCTAAATTTGAGAAAAAAGCCGAACACTATCCTAAAAGCAGGTTCTGCAACAGCCAATCATTCGCATGACTTTAAAAGCCAGTTCAGGAGAAGTTATAAATAATCCAGCAGGCTTTAGTGAAATAATTTCCTTTTTAATTAATTCCTTATAAGCATACATATTTTATAAATTCTTCCCTACATAAGGGTAGAGAGTCACAGACGGGATGTACTAAAAGCTTTTCTAAAAGGGTGTACAGTCATGCTCTCTGGCTAGCCTTTTGGAAGAAGGGCTTAATTTTTAATGGAATCATTCATTGTCCATAAATTTTCTCCCTTTTGTAAATCTGCCTGTGCAAACAAAAAAGAGGAGTGTCTACAGAAAATGGATTTAAGTTGTTAAGGATGACAGCACAGAGACACAGACTTGACTTTCCCCACCCAGCAAATTTACAACAAAGGCTAAGACAAAAATGTAAACTAATTAGAGACTGTCATCTGGCATTCTGAGGCAGAGAAGCGGACCTGCGGGCACTTAGCAGTTGTCTACCAAGATCTGTAGCATGCATAATCAACCTGTCAGTGAGTAACAAGATTAGTGCTGCAACTAATAGGATCAAAGTTCCATAAAGCAAGAGATTAATATAAATGCTATTTAATTTTAAAAACCACGAATGGCATTTTAGTGGTTATAGCTTTCTTTGGTTGTTAGACAGTATTTAGCTCAATATTCACAAACATACTTAGGGCAGAAGAGAAAGCACAGCTCTAAAGCTCTGTGAATGCACTGATAGATTAATAAACTGACCACTTACTCGGATGTGGGAAGAGGATCTTCCAAGAAGTAAGGATCCTGCATAGCCTGTTCTGAGGTAATTCTCTTTATTGGATCCATAGTGAGCAATTTCTGAAGCTGAAAAAAAAATAGAAAAAAACCCCCCACCTTTATGTTACCAAAACCATTTATAGAAACTTCACTGTATTCCTGAAAGTTAAGATGATCCAAATGTGTCTGAACTCAAAAGCCTAATCCTAAATGGCATAACCACATTCTTCTCTCCTGTTAAAAGATTAACTTCATTTCCTAACAAAGGACACCTATTTTCACTTGCAAAGCCCAGGACACTCAGTTCCAGTCACAAGTGTTCTATCAAAACCATTCAAAAAGTTTCCACAATGTACTAGCACCTTTAGTCACAAAATAATTTGGGTTGGTAGGACCCTTTCGAGACCACTTAGTCCAGCCCCCTGCCATGGGCAGGAACACCTTTAACTAGACCAAGTTACTCAGAGCCCCGTCCAGCCTGACCTTGAACACTTCCAACGATGGGGCATCCTGAGCTTTGTGTAACCTGTTCCAGTGCCTCATCACTCTCTGAATAAAGAATGTCTTCCTAATATCCAATCTAAATCTACCTTCTTTTATTAGAAAGCCATCATCTCTTGTTCTATCAAAACAATCTTCCTCTCCAGCTTTCTTTGAGACCCCCTTCCAAGTACTGAAAGATGTTATAAGGTCTCCTGGCAGCCTTCTCTTCTCCAGGCTGAACAAGCCCTGCTCTCTCAGCCTGTCTTCAGAGGAGCGGTGCTCCAGACCTCTGATCACCTTTATGGCCCTCCTCCGGACACAGCATTCCAGATGAGGCCTTGTGAACTGGGAACACCAGACCATAGCTATTTTCTTTAGCTCTAGTGCTGAGTTGCAGTGATGCATTCTTAAAATACCTGGTTTTTATTCAGAAAGTCTGGTGTACATGCATATACTTCTCTCCATCCACCCCAGAGCTGTGTGGAATACAGCTGTGCTGGACAAGCAACATGAGATAATAACCTTCAGATACCACACAGAAAAACAGTGAGTTCTCATGTTCCAACAATACAGCACAGTGTCCAAGGCAAAACTACACCATAACATATTGTCAAAGACTTTAAAATAAATGCTTCACTTTTAACCTGCAGTGGGTATTTTTCAACAAGAAAATACATATGTAAATAAAATTCATTTACATTTCCTACTCATGCTTTTTATAGGATTCACACATTCACCTTTTTAAAAAGATCCAGTGTCATGATCTAAGTCTGAACTGGTCATCTCCTTTCACTAGGAGAAATTCATAACTGCATGTGAGAACTAATAGCTACAATGTACATCTCCATACTTCAAAATCTGAGGTTGAGAAAGTACACTTCCCTCCTCAGCCTTCAGTTTTGACAGCATGGTTAAGAATTTGATAACTATGAATTACCACCATCAATCCACTTTTGTTTTTCACATTATCCACAAGAATTCACAGCTCCCTGAGTCTACATTTATACAAGTTTTTACAGAATAGCATGTTGAACAAGCCAACTCTTACTCTCTCAAAAAACACTGCCAAAAGCTAGAAAAGGAAAAGGCAAAACATGACAAAGAACTGCCAACACACTGAAAAACATGAACAAAAAGCACAGCAAAATACTAGCATCATTTGTGGTGATTGGATTCTAGAGCTGTCCATCACATTGGTCATGATCAGCCATACAAAAAGAAATCAAAATGACTGTGCAACCATTATCCACACAAGGGATCAAAACTTTGGTTCTTCCCCCTTGTACAGATGCCACACAAAAGTGAACATTCTACATATTATTACAAGTATTTTCTATTTTAAAAACTGCTTGATGTAAAGATCACCTGACTAAATGACACAGTAAAAATGCAGTAAGCTTCATACATCAATTAATGGGACAATCACTACAGTTTATACGGACCAAAGTAACCACATGGATGATCAAAAAAAAAAAAATCAGGCATACAGGAATTTTTAGAAGTAAAAGTAAGCTACTGAAAGTATGCAAAGCAGCAAAATGACTAAGGATTGCAGCAATACTGCAAATAAAACTATTTGTGTTACAGGCTAACACAACTATAATACAACTTAAATAACACAAACTTCAAAACTACTTGATACTGAACCTAATCCAGTGAATGACACTCAGAATCATTTTATCAATGTGAGAAGATATTTCATCAATGTGAGAAGATAAAGCAGTTTTGCAATTTTCAGATTGCAGAGTATCAGTTATTCCTAACTTGATTTATACAGTTAGTTACAGTGGACTTGACACTAGCTCAACTCTTACTTGGAACAACTGTAACATACACGAGGGATTTTTTATGTCTGCAGGAACTTACCAAGTGGAATGCCTTACTATCTGGTTTAACTTTATGTTTTTCCATATATTTGATAAGGCTGCAGTTGGTATACCTAGAAAAGGAAACAGAAGTGATATTTCTAATATGCAAATCATTGATACTGCAAAGTTTTCCTGGTAGCCACAAAACATATTAATGACAACAGTTTAGTCTCCCTGCAAATCCAATAACCAGGGAAAAATCACAACTATCAACACCAGAGATTGCTTTAAAACGAGAAATGCAGAAAGGCATGTTTCCTCACATCCTTATAAAAGCATATCATACCCACACAAAAAGCACACTTTAAACCCACAAGCAGACAGCAAACTATCAACTGGATTTAAACTGCCTGGTAGCAATTTTACGTCACACTGTTGAATTCTGTGTATTTCTCATGACAGTGAAGATATATAATAAGCTCATCTGAATGCTGTCCTGCAACCTACAGATTGCTACAAGAACATTCATATACTCACTTTTTTTTGAAGAGAAGCTCCAACAAAAAGTTTCTAAATGGTTGCAATGGCATGACATATGCAAGAAATGTACGTAACTATACAGCCCCAAATGCCTCAGTACAGAAATCAGGCAACAGGGTGGCATTTTAAGTGCAGGTATTAGCCTGTGGCAACGTGACAGCAAATCTGAAGGGCATTTTCTTCTTTAGTCACTGTAAGCTACCCTAGACACCAAACCTGACAATTATACCCACTGTTTGCTGGAAATGGTATAAGGTTACCAGACCCCTTTTAAGCAGCTATTACAGAAAATCATTGCAAGTACCACAGATTTGGAAACAGATGTGCTTTGACAAACTTCAGAGCTGCATGGGATCTTACTGGCACCACCTGTTTCACAGCTGCCACCTTACCCTTTACAGCCTCTGGCTATTCTTCTGATCCACACCACCTCAACAGGCCAAGTTCACCATTATGAAATAACTTTAATTTTCATTTTTCCCAATCTTAGTCATAACAATTTCATAGTGCTTGTTTAGCATCTATAAAGAAAACAACTTTAACTGCAAGAAATTTAGTGTAGGAAAGAAATATAAAATATGCTTTATTAAGAAAGCTCAACCCAGACTTACGTGTTTCTCCGGAAATCTTTCATTAAGGTTGAATGTTCTGGCATCTTTTTTATGTCTTCCCAATCTTTATCTGCAAAGCAGTATTAATTATTTTTTTCCCTTTCTCTCTGAGTAAAACAACGCATTTCCAACTATCTCCACAGCCTTGATTTTTGTTTTTTTTTCTTTTAAATTCTGCTTCTCTAACCTTGCAGTTACTTATCTCTTTGTACTCCCTAGTTCCTATTCCTTCATCACCTCTTCACAACAAATCATACCAAGACCTAAGAGGTTCCAGCTGTGTGCTGATTAACTCAAGAACTTGAAAAAAAGATGCCAACTACAGTGGCCACAAAACAATGCTGAAGAAAAACACATCAGCCCCTGTGCTTTAACCCTTCAGGACTGTTATTTAATTTATTTAGACACAGCTGTGATCTCAAGACAGGAATACACCCTGTCTCCTTCTAAGGGTTTCTCTGTTCTGACAGCACTTTTAATTACAGGAAAATGCCCAGAGGTACTTCTGCAAAGTAAGAAATACTGTTATTAAACAAAAAGTTAAGAAAAAGTGAAGTCTGCACACTCAAATGATAAGAATCCACCTCAATGTAGACCAACACCAACATGTATTTTAAAATAGAACAAAAAACTCACTACCAGCAGCTAGCCTCAAATGTGTTAAGTTCCAACTCTTGAAAAGGCTCTGTGGGCAACTAATTTGGTTCAATTCAAATCTTTACTAAGTCTGATCCCTACTGCAGAACACTGAGTTTAAAAGCATTAAATAAATAAATAAATAAATACATCAAACAGAAGTAATTATTTAATTATTACTTAGGTAAACAAAAAAGTCTCCTCTTTCCTATCCCACAGACAGGAGAAACTGTTTCAGATATGGCAAATGTCAATTAAAATGAAAAAAAATTGCTGCAGTTGAATGAAAAGCGTTTCTTAGTAAAAACCAAAGAACTCCAAAGGTCAAACGCAGACCATTAGAAAGGATTAATTAATCCAATCAGAAAACCACAATGAGAGTATGATCTACTTATGTAAGCTATACAGAACCAATGTAAAACCCAAATGAACTAAGAAAAGTATAAAAGGGTAAAATTCTAGTTCAAAAGCAGAAGGGGACAGTATTTCTTGAAGAAGCAAAACTAAGGAGACAAAATGCAAAGGCAACATTTCCATGAATCTAACACAGCAGTACAGAAGCAATGAAGTACACACACACAAAAAAAGGCAAAAGCAAAAATAAGAGCATGTTTAATACCAAAATCCTAGAACGACCAAAAACATGTAGACAACAGAAGTCATGTGAAAGGAAGAGGCAAATTAAAATAAAAAACCCAAAGTATAAACTGAAGAAGCAAAGCAGCCTGCATAGAAACAAAATATGACCAGCACTGAGGGGAAAATGCAACAAGTGATATCCACACTGTAATTTGTTTTGATTCATACAACTAGTTCTTTCTTTCGGTTTGGAATAAAGAAATGTTTTTCTATAGCACCAGCTTTCCACCAGGGGGGGGAAAAAACATCAATACTCTCCATTACTTCCAAATAATACATTTAATTTGGCATGAATTAAACAAATGCGTAATACTCACTAAATATATATATTTTTGCTGGGTTTCATAAATCATTAATCACCTTCCAAATCAATAATCAGTACTGAAGAAATGTAGAAATATTCCTTCTCATTTTTAATCACCCACCATTAAATACAATCTTTTAAAATAATAAAGCATTGGTACATGTATATACAAAGATAACCCTATCATTAATAAAAGGGAAAATATCTAATTTGACCATTGGATTCTAGATTTATAACTCATGAAATAGAGATTGTGTTTGAACAGCCCTGTTGCTTTGATCAGCTGCCACCTTCATATGCAAAGAAAGCAATATGGATATCTTTCTTTGAACAGCGGTGATAAAAAATACAGTATGTACCTGCAGGAAATCCCATTACATTGAATATTCTGTCCAGCTGGTCATGGTGATAAGGATTACTAGTTTTGATATCTTCTTGTCGGCAATGGAATATTGGCTCTGATGTTAGCAGCTCTGCAAATATACACCCTATGGCCCAAATATCTTTAAAAAAGGAGAACAGAAATAAAAAGAACAACAAATGAATCTTTCCAAAACCATCTGGATGAGGTAGAATGTTAGTGTTTAGCTTATCAGAGATAAGGTTCCTATATTGAAAATGTCAAGTTTCTATTGTAGAAGTGCAATACTTCCTCAACTTTTTCTTTTAGCTTTGAATGGAGGTACACAATTCAGAAACTACGCAGGAGCTGAGAATAGCATACAAGTTTTTTGGGGGTTTTTGAAGTGTAGTTACCACTTAACATTGTAAAAAATTAATGTGGTTAAGAAAAAAGTGAAGGAAACTATTGGGGTAATGGCCAACACACAAAACACAAAGAAAGAGAAGCCAGCCAGCATCTTGCCCTTTCACTGTCCTGACCAAGAAAGGCACAACTGTTTATCAGCAAAGTTTAAATAGTAAATGACCCCAAAAATACAAGCTGAAAAGTAGCAGTATTGGTATAAAACAAGTAACACATTGAAAGAGAGTTACATACAAATTGCTACAAAAGCCCAAACACCTCACAACTTTTCCATAACATCCACTAAAAAAAACCCCCAAACCCCACAACCTCTCTCTTTTCACTGTTGCTTTCCTATCTAATAATCAGATCACCTGTATCTTCCCAGTTGTTTTCTCAATTATTCGCCAGCATACACGAACACAATTTTTAACTCTAAGTGCTGCTACACTGAGCCTTGAATGAACAAGGTCATAAACAAGGACAAAAGTAAATAATACAAACAGCATAACTCCATTACTCAGTGTTTTTACACAGTCATTTTTTATCTACACTGAAAAAACTATGTACTAAAGGCTGTGACTGCCCATGCACTTTCACACACTGCAATCAGAAGAAATGAAAGTAAAGTGAGGAAACATGCAAATACAACAAATTAAGAAGTTTAAAGCAACATAAAAATGTATCTGATCTATGAAAGAAACACAGTATTAACAGAAAAGTAAATAAGAATACATTTAAGGCACAGACATTAGAATTGCTGACAGAAACACAGATATGATTGTTAAAAAAACAAAACAAGAAAAAAAGATTGAGTTCAGAGGAAGACTTTCAGGTTACAGAAACAACACAGTCTGCTGACATACATCCTCCATGTCTGTGCAAAGTGGAGTAGCTGCTAGGGCAGTTATCTGCTCCCAGAACTGGTTGCCAGCCTTTAACATATCTTTTAAACCAGGCAGCAAGAGAAAAACTTCCCAGCGCTTTTCCCTACAGTCTCTCTTCCTCCCACAGAAGCTCATCAATGCAGTAAAAGTGAATCTAACCTCCCTCCAGTTTGCTGCTGGGTTGCTCCCCTGTTCTACAGCCCACAAAAGCTCTGGCCATCTGTCATGTCTTTGAAAAAGACACAGAGAGGCTAAAATGCAACTTAATTTTACATTTTAGCTTCAGTGCAGCCACAATATTTTCCATTCTGTACATTCTTTATTTCATACATTTATTACACTAGGTAATAACCTCTGCAATAAATTCAATGCACTGTGCCTCACAGTCATCCTAATATGAATTCTATGAGCAGTTCAAAGATGCTTCCATATTTTTATAGCCTCTAACAGAATTTATGAAAGTCCTGTGTGAAAGCCACAAACTCAGATTGCATTGCAGGGCATTTGGAGCTAAAACCCAGCAAGATATTTCATTTCTATATACAGCCTGAGACCACAGTAAACTAATCAATTTCTGAAAGATTAATATTTCTTCAAGAAACAAGGAACATACCTTTAACTCAGCTACTGTCTTTTGGACAATTTATCAAAGCTTTAATATTTGGGTACAGTTTACATAAAGAACAAAACAGTACATTTTTGTGCAATGTACTTACCAATAGCTTTGGTATAATGCCTTGCTCCAAGAAGCAACTCTGGAGCTCGATACCAGAAGGTTACAACTACTGGATCCAAGTCTGCTAAAGGCTTCAGAGGTGAATTAAATAATCGGGCAAAGCCCATGTCAGCTGCAAAATTCAAAGAGAGATGCTTTAAAATTTGAGGGAAACTAACAATCTTCATTTTTTTTTAACAAATTGATTGAGTTTACTTGTTAGCACTATCATCACTCCTAAATAAAATACAAAGGCAGCCTGTAGCAGATATGAACTCTCTGAGCAGATTTTTTTCTGTAGAAGTTACTGGATGGCATCACCTATGAAGTATATCATTATAAATCATTACTAACATGAGTCATTTACAACAAAGAATTAACCATTGTTCTGAAGAAGTGCATCAACTCCTCAGGACACTGGTAAATCCTGACTCATTTTACCTGATGTTCTATGGTAAAGTACTCCTATTATTACAGGATGTTTTTTCACAAAGCAGCCATTTTTAAAGCAAGCAAAATGCAGATTCTGCAAAGGTTAGAATGATTTATAACACATACGTGCACATGAAAAAATCTCCCTCTTCATGAAGTTAGCTATGGCAAGACTTCCTTCACACAAAAACAGCACCTAAGCCTAGAGCATCTGCCTCCCTGCTGATTTTTCTATCAAGATGCATTTCCAGTATCAATACACCAGTGCTGAATACCATTCAAGCTATGATTTCTAAATTTTGGTTGTGGGCATTATACCATTAAAAACTGCTTTCTAGAATTTGTAGTGTACAAGTGCCTAGAAAGTTGTCTGAACAACTACATGTAAGTCATACAGGAAAAAATGGGCTGAGACTAAAATATGCAGCTTCTCCCATGAAATTGCTTTCCTGACCCACCAACCCTGAATCCCAAGACAGAGTGACCCTATCATGTAGGGATATTCATATGCTGAAAAAGATTTGAATGAAATGAGATGAGTAGCTACCCTGAGGGAAAAGGACCTACATGCTCTAGCTCAATGAGGGAATACTGCAGTGTAAATATGGGTCTCTAACTTGACTACACAATCCTTAATTATTTTTTCATATGCATTCCTATTTATGATTGCTTTAATGCATTTAAAAAGAGAAACATTTTACAGTTTTCTACATTAAAATATCAATTACTCAAAATTGGTCAAGTCACTAGTAACTATGAATAATAAGGAAAACTGTTGGCAAAAAGTGGATTTATGACCCAAAGTGACACAAAAAGCCTATAAAAATTATTTTAAGTTAAATACCAGTTATGTATTTTTTAGAAAAATTAGTTACACTGTAAAGTGGAAGCCCTTGGTATGTGTATAATTTCTGCATTCTTTTACTGCTGTGGCAATCTTAAGAAAATTAAAAAAAAAAAATCTGCATTTTGATAACACACTTCAAAATCCAAGGTTCCCCTCCCTCTTTCCCTGCTGGGAATGGATGGCTCAGAGGACTGGTGGCCCAATACAGAATCTTTCACCTGTCCATTAAGAGAGTCTGACTTAATTTAGTTGTTTACTAAGTTATTCTCAAATTAATTCAAAACTATAAATTAAGAAATAAACGGGTGGTCTATGTGCAATTACTAGCAAATAGTTGTGTACAGCAAATATCACCACCACTATCAAAAGTGAGTCCAGAGGATGACCTACGTGCTCTGTTTTGGAAGAAACCCTCCATGAAGATTAAGTAATATGAAGAAATTTTCCCTTCTGTTGTCCATGATGTACCTGTTCTCTATGCAGACCTCAATCCCTACTGCCAACCTTAAAAGCTCAGAAAGGCATTAAAAACTTTCAGAATAGGATCTGCAGAAGCATTCAATCCTGGCCCATCGCTCCCTGGATTCCAAAGGACAAGGGAAGGCCCAGAGCAGCACTGAACGCTCCCAGAAAATCCTACCCTGAATCATTCTACTAGTGACTAACAGTATAGTTCAGATCAAGAAAACAGTAAGAGAACAGAGCAACAATGCAGAAGAGTAATCTCTCAAAAGAAAGCCAGAGGGAAGTGAAAAAGATGAACTAGCTTAAAAAAACCCTTCCAAATGGGGCTGTATTACCATAGCAAATGTAAACAGGCTGTGCATTAGTAGCACTGCCATGATAATGCACAGCCTGGTACAGTTTATTATTGTTAGACTACTGTTAATTTTTATTTATGTATTTAGTTTAAAAGAATTGAACTTTTACAAATCATCCTCTCACTGCAAATAGTAACTCCCACCAGAAAATGTTAGAACAGTGTGGAAGTGTTGGGTCCTTTCTAACCTGGTCCACCCCGGGCTAGGCATTTGGCATTAGCTATTAGCTCTCACTAAACACTTGGGATGGATTTCTGTGATTTCTGCACTTTTAAGGTCCCTTGTGTTGATCTCCAAGGGACCTGCCTACTCCTTCAAAAATATTTTGTAGGCTGAATGCCATCTTTGATTCTATTATAAGATAGAAGGTTTATAGCAATGACTAGTTCCCTATTTAGATTTTTACAAGCAGCAGCAAGATGTCATGGCATTAGAGATAAATGGAGGAAATTTTAAAATCCCATTTCTTTCTCCTCCTTTCCTCCTAGCTAGCTGTCATCTTTAACCCCCCATCAAAATCCCCCACCCCACACAAACACCCACTTAAGCAAAATATAATGACATTTTCCACTTTTTATTGATGAGGCTACAGCATTTCATTGTCAGAACTGGTACATGGGGCTAATATGATGAAGCCAGTCACTCAGAAAGCAGCACTTAGGCAATGTGCCCAGGCACATACTGGTATTACAGTGACTACTTTAGGTGGTACAACTGCACCTTCAGAACATTCTAACTTAAATGCTACACTGGGACTTATCAAAGATATAAACATACCAATTTTTACTCTTCCTCGCTCAGGACCTTCACCCATAACTAAAATATTAGCAGGTTTCTGTGGAAAAAAAAATAAATATACAATACATATACCACGATAAACCTAAACAATAGTCTCTGAAAAGTTAATTAAGCTTTGTTTTGCCAGTTTTAAACCAACTTTGTTTTGATAAAAATGACAAGTTTCTCTGTCACAGTAATGCTGTGCAAGGACCCAGACACAGGCTCTCCCTGACTGCATCTTCCTCGCGTTTCTTCTTGGCATTGCTGTGCTCCAGCAGCACATTCCCTACTGACACCCTGGTGTCTGTCCTCAAGGCATGAGCTGGCAGCCACCAAGCTGCTGGGATTTCTACCCAAATTGCCCTAGATCTTTTCAGTGGGAGGCAGTCCCACTGCTGCCCACCACCCCAGCCACAGGGATGAGAAGCCAGCTCTACAGCAAGCTTTGCCCAGGGTTGTTAGGCACATTCGCAGACACAATGCACATAAAAAATACACAAGTGAGATACAGATCAAACATTACCATATCACTTGATATTGGAGAGAACACTCATCTAAATTCTTCCTATTTACAAGTGTTTACCAATTCACACAGCTGCAAAACTGGAAAGCACTGCCTTTATGTTAGTCTTCTGTCCTTCCTTTTTTTCTTTTACTATGGAGGCAAGTTAAAGAACAGAGCTAGAATATGGCTGGTTAGAAACATGATAACTCAATTCAAAACCTCTATTTTCTGCTGTCCTGTTTCTCATAATCCATTCTCAGCATCTGTAGTAACAGGATTCCTCAACTCCTAACTCAGTTTATATAATGAAACCTACAGTGCTTATTTGGAGGGAAAAAAATAAAGAAACTCACAACTAAAGCAGATAATGTATGCCAGACTTGTTCTTAAATAGAGTGATTTAGATACCCATTCATTCTGTAAATCCTGGACAAAACAGGGACTCCTATTCAGTTGTGGCCTGTAAGATTGTAATAAGGCTGAGTTACAGCTCTTGCTTTGCTTTTCCAGTTTAAATTGATCTGAAGGTAAGAATACCTGAGAAAAACAGCTTAGACCACCTAAAAGTTAACATAATAAATCCTAGTATCCTTGTGTGATTTTCTAAACACATTCTAGGATATTCTCAAGCCTTCCTCAATCTATCAGGCTCTAATGTAAACACACATGCAAAGAAGCAGAAGACCACAACATGATATTGACCTAGAAGTAACTGCTATTATGTAAAAACCAGGTAGAAAAAATTAGTACTCGAGCAAAAATTTTCCTTGAGAATTTAAATTATTGTTGTTTATGAAAGGCTGCAAAATGGATTTTCGAAACCCTTCAATCCTTGGACAAAATATGTAAAAAGAATCTGAGGCACTGCATTTCTGAGAACAGGTTAAGGATAGAAAATATTATCAAAAATGTGGTCAAAAAAGGTAATATATACTTCATTGTCTTTCTAACAGCAAGAACAACAGATCCAGCTTGTGCTGTATTAGCTCTATGATTTCCAGAAGAAACTGTTCCCCACCACCACCACCTCCTTTTGCTTCACACTCCAGGTAAGTACTGCTTCAACATTAAAAAATGCAGAATGTGGGCACACAGCTCTCAAAGCATCCAATTTAGATTGCTTCTACAAAAGTCCTAGAAATAAACAAACAGCATACATCTTTAAATTCACAGTTAGTGCCGAACTTTATGGCAATTCAATCTGCTAGGTATGAAAACACATCATTTCACCACAGAAATCTTCCTATTGCTACACTGACTCAAAGAACAAATCCACATCTTTTACAAAACCTGCTTCAGTGTATATGGGGTGTTAAGTTACATGTCTAATTATCATGTTTTCGTTAGAGTTAACAATACATTACACAGGCATCAGAATTTTTCAGATATATAATACATGGACGTAATACATAAAGTACCATTTTCCCCCCTTCAAGTTCACAGGTTGATAATACGCTACAAAAATGTTTTTAACATCCTCATTGTATTTTCACCTTAAAATATTTTACTGTTTGGATTTTGGTAAGGACAAGAAGTCATACTCACACAAAGACTGTATTATACCATATGACTAATCAGCACAGCACTGGGTAACAATTCCTGCACCAAAGATCTCCTACCCTAAGGTCAAGGTACGTAGAGATGAGAAAGCACAGTAAGACAGTACTGTGTCAGCAAAGTATCAACAGATGGATTCACACTCAAATTTCAGAAGTTACAGAACATACTTAACAATAGAGACAATTTAGAAATCTGTGTAGGAGTATTCTAAAGCCGCAAAATAAAAACAAACCCTCAGCTGGTCTGGAATACTCAGTTCACTTTTTTCTAAAGTCACAAGTCCTTCACCGAAATAGCTGTGTTTGGAACACAAGATTTTTCCTACAGACAAAAATATTTATGTAGTCACATCGCTGTAAAAATACATCACAGTTTTAAAAAATAAGTAAATTAGATGTCTTATTCTGGAGGCTTCCATTTCTAAAATCATTGTATGCATAGACTGGAACAACATTTTTAGTTCAAAAAATTTTCCAAACAAGACCATTCAACTTAAATTCAATAGGGGAATATCTACTAGAAATCAGTATAGGGATAATATTGATATACCGAAATACTGTTTATTTTGAGTAATCCCTGAAAAACACTGAAGTCCACTAACAGAAGTAAATACATGTGTCAGGAATTATCATTACAAGTCTTTTAATCAAGTCCACTCTCTGGAGGAAAAAAAACCCTTGAACTCCCCCCTAGATTTGTCTTTTGGGGCAACTCATTACATATGAGAAATTTATTTGCAAAGAAAAATAAGCAGTCATTAGAAACATAAGGGAGAAATTTGGATAAGCATTAGTTTAATTTGCTAATTTTCAGTTTAATTCTAATTATCCAGAGAAAATTGAAGTTGAAACTGCTTATTCAAATCACTTGGACTGAGCAAGTGAAGCAAAATCTTTTAGCAATTCTTATACTGTACTCTGAGAATACTCTACTTTAAAGCAGCTATATTTTTTATAACTACAAATCACCAACTAAAGTCCCTAATTTTTGTACTAATAAAAGCATAATTACTTTTGCCATTCAGTAAAATAATTTGTGCATGCCAGACAAATGCAAACGAGAAACCTGTTACGATCCTAAACCAAATGTGAAGAGCCATGCAGTGATGTACAGCTGAATATTTCAGAGACCAACACAAGTGTCTGGCAATCCCGTAGAACTACATGTAAGAAAAATTACCCTTCTCCTCCCAAACCCACCTCAGCAGCAGGGGGAGAAGTCATTCTCATGAAAGAATGACTTTGTGACCATGGCACAGCACTAAATCTTATCTTGCCCTGTATTTGGCTTCGTAGGACTCCTCCTTATGATTCCTGGACAAATCCTCATCTTGCGTATCTAATCACTATTACTGCTGAAACGAGAACAAAGATTTCCACTGATACGTTTTTAGGTACTCCTAATTTAACAATTATTTGCAAAGTGCAAAAAGAAATTCTAAAAGGCAGGCTAATTTTAACCAAGGGAAGTAAAAACCCAAAGAGGTTCATAGATCCGTGAAGAACTTGAGACAGTCACCTTCACCCATCTGCCTGATCTCACACAATACTGCTCATGTTCACTCTGATCCTGAAGTCTCTGGTGATGAAGGTTGCACAATTCCCATGTAATCTCTCTTTCACTGCTCTGCATTGCAGTGTTTTTGCTTTCCTTCTAACACAACAGACAAGATTAGTCCCCTTGCCTCTTCTCTTCGTTAGCAAAAGGCACAGACAACCACTCCTCCACTGCAAGAACTTCCTACACAACTTCCTGGGACAAACATTTCTCTTCAGTCCTATCACCTAGATTTAAAAAACCCTAATAAGCTCTCTCCTGCTCTGTGTTTCTAAGTAGGCTATTTTTTTTTTTCTGGATCTATGCTCATTCTTGCTTATTTCCTCTAGCTGCTCTGCCTTGGGCCACCCCTTTCTTTGAACTCCAGTGTTCCAAATTACATACTGCTCCTGCTGAGGCTTCACTAATGCTAAATGCAGTGGAGAGATTGTTTACATGCCTTGCACAGCATCTTTCACTCTGTATGATCCCAGTATGGTATCCTGCCTCACTGCATAAGGCTATTGATTCATGTTAAGGTTATTACCAGCCATGCATTTTCTTCGTATCTTTTTGGCAGGACTAGAAGTTTGACCAAACATTGCAGTCATATACTGCCTCTTAACATACGCTGAAAATGTTTATGCTCTTTCACAGAGGGGAAACTAGACTTCAGAGCTTATGTGAATCGCTGTTTTGAAGGCAAAAATGCAAACAAAATTTAAATTATACCAGCCTGTGTCATGATGAGATATGACACAAAAAGAAAAAAACATCATTCCTGCTGCTCAGAGAAAGTTATTGACAGGAGCAGGAGATGATTATTTATTCCAAATTTGTATACTAGGTATCTGGAGCCGCTGTCTGGCCAATGCCAACCTCTGATAAATTTCAACAAGCAAAAAATTCTCATGCCTTTTTACATCAATCTGCAAAGATGCTAGTTAAACAATTTGGTATCCCACATACTGATGCCACTGCCATTGTACGATCCTGCCCAGACTGTCAAAGGGATGGCACTGGCTTAGGCACCGGTGTTAACCCAAGTACTCAACCTTTGCAATTATGGCAAATGGATGTACCACATGTAGCAGAATTTGGCCAGAAGAAGTTTGTGCATGCCTCATGCTCCTGGAAAAGTATTTTGGTGTTAGGCCCTCCTTTCACTAAGCTTTACTCACCAAAGCAGTGAGGAAATGGCATTTTTATACAGCTTAGCCACTGCAATTTTTGATACTTAGTACTTTAAGCATGAAACCAGGTCTACAGGAACTATTATTCCACATAGGTTTTGCTACTAGTCTGTTTCTGAAATCACCAGTTTTCAAAGACTGATTTTAAACATAGGTATCAGTGAGTAATTTAAACTCCTTTGAATTACCTATTATGGTATTATAATGTCAATGCTACCTTCTCCCCATCCACATTATTAACTGTGTGCAAAATTTCTACAT